AAAAAGAAATGTACTCATTACCTGACTTATGAAATGGGAACCCCTCTGTATAACACCTTAATAAAAACAGCGAATTTAAAAAAAAAAAAAAGAGTGCCATCCTTTTGAGGGGGAAAAATGAGAGTATAAGGATCTGACTTCTAATCTCAGTACTAGCACAAAAAAAGGCCTAGAGGTGTGGTCCAGTAGCAAATCACCTGCTTAGCAAACATAAGGCCCTTACTTAGTTCAAACCCCAGTAAAGCCAAATACACTTGAAAAAGAAAAAAAAATAACCCAGAGCACAAAAAACAAGGAGTGCCTCGAATTAAAATGTCAGTACAATTGGACGCTGGTAGCTCATGCCTGTAATTCTAGCTACTCAAGAAGCTAAGATATGAGGATCCTGGTTCAAAGCTAGCCCAGGAAAGAAGTCCCTGAGACTTGTCCAATTAACCACCAGAAAAGTGGCACTGTGGCTCAAAGTGGTAGGTTACTAATCTTGAGCAAAAGAGCTTAGGAACTGTGCCCAGACCCTGACTTCAAGCCCCACTACTGACCAAAATAATTAATAATAATAACAGTAATAAATGACAATACAAGAAACTCAACTCTCTTTTCCACATACTATTCCAAAGGTCCAAATCTTCTCATCCTACAGAGCGTAAAACTGATAGAGGCAGATTCAGCTCTTGTTCAAGTTCCCAAATGTGACTTTAACAAATCTGGAACCTGCACTGTGGCTCAAGTGGTAGAGTACTAGCTAGCCTTGAGCTGAAGACCTGAGGGACAGCGCCCAGGCCCAGAGTTCAAGCCCCAGGACCAACAACAACAACCAAAAAAAGATAACAAATCTGGACCCTGGCAAATGCTACCACTTCCTTCAAATTCCAGTTTAAATCTCCCTTTCAGTAGCTTTTCTCTGGTAAAATAAAGTTAATTGCTTAAGTGTGACAATAACACAGTTCATTCTTTGGTGATACTGCGGACTTGAGGCCTTGAACTTGCTGGGCAGTGCTTTGCCGTTTGAGCCATATCTTCAAGCTTTTTTTACACTGGTTGTTTTTGAGGTAGGGTTTCAATTTTATGTCAGCAGCATATGAGTTTTAAAGCCTGAGAAACACTGAGCTAGATTCTTAAAGTCAAGGGCTGGGTTTTGTTCATTTTTGCATTCCCAGCACCTAGTACAGAGCCAGACACCAAGTGTGAATAAAGATTTGCTGAATGAATTTATATGCCCAAAGTCATGATATCAACTGCTCTAGAGTTAAAACATGCCAGAACAGACAACAGCCCAAGCACCAAACAAAGCTTCTCTTCTTTCTTTCACCCAGTCCATTCAATTTTCTCACTCTGTGTGTGTGTGTGTGTGTGTGTGTGAGAGAGAGAGAGAGAGAGAGAGAGAGAGAGAGAGAGAGAGAGAGAGAGAGAGAGAAATTGCCTTGATGCCGGAATACCATTAAAAGGATTAATTTAGGGACCAGTGTTTGGACTGTCACATCCAATCACTACCCACAGATCTACAGCTTCCCAAATCAGGCTCATGCAAAGAGGAATCAATTGCAAGGACACAGGGTCTGAACAGGCATACTAATGGCCTTCTGAGGTGCCAGCGGCCAGCTTTGACACTCCCATAAATTATCTGCCTTTTGATTTTACCTGTAGCTGTGGGGCACAAGGCATAATTTTGAACATATCAAAGCAATCCCTTGCAACCTAAGGCTCTCTAAGGAGAGTCCCCCCAATGGAGGAAAGGCTAAAAACAACAACCCAAAGGGATTCTGCTTTCCAACAGGTTTGGTCAAAACAGTCATCAGTTAAAACCCAAAAGAACCCAAATGAATAAAATAAAATCCAAATCACACCCACTAGATCTGGACAAGGCATGCACCACACTGCAGATCTGCAATGACTATGCATCTCTCTCACTCAAAGGAAACAAAATCACAGCAATCAACTAACAATTTCATCTGGGGGCAAGTCTGTACTAGTTTTGTCAGTATTCACAGTGTGACCCCTTGAGTAACTCACTAATAACCAACCTTCTTGGGCCTCAGTTTTCTCACACTAGCAAGGAAACAAATACTGACTGTCTGAACAATTTCCCAGAGTGGTGATGAAAAGAAAAAACATTCAAGAGGCATTTTACAATGATGTGTGGCCACAAAGTTGGCAATGTTAATAAATGATCTCAGAAAGCCAGGGACTGGTAACATGTTGGTGGATTTCTACTGAGAAACTGTTCACTCAATTTGTTTTACAGACAATATTGGAATTAATATCTATCCTGAGAAATAGAACTCTTGCTGAATATGAATTTTCCATTACAAAAAGCAGCATCTTGCCGTAGTTACAACTAAGCTAAAGACCAGGTCACCCAACTACTGTGCTTGTAATTCTAGCTACTCAGGAGGCTGAGACCTGAGGATCACAGTTCAAAGCCAGCCTGGACAGGAAAGTCTATGAGACAATTCAAATTAGCCACTAAAGCCAGAAGAGGAAGCTACGGCTCAAGTGGTGCAGCACTAGCCTTGAGATCTGACACACTCACACACACACACACACACACACACACACACTCAAAGTATCAAGACACTATGCTAAAAGCTTTACATACATTATTAAAGCCTTTAACTAATCCTATTAAGTCTCATATTTTACAGATAGGAAAGGGAAGTCCAGAGACTGTTCAAAATCATAAAAACACTACTACCAGAAACCTATAAACTTCCCTCATTCACTGCAAGTACACTGGGCACATAGGAGGAAGAAGACAAAAGGAGAGTACACTCAATACTTTATTTAGTGCTGTGCCTCACACATACCATCTGCCTGAACTGGGAGGCATTTCCAAAGCTGAGCAATGGTCATCATCAGTTTGCTATAAGCAAGGAAAGACTGAGTAGAATTACATAAGACAATTTCCTGGAAAGCTTAAGAAAAGTCCAAGAGGTTCAAAGCAACTGGCATTATACTAGGAGCTCTAAAATCAAAATTACTTTCAGGATTACATTTATTCCATACTTCCTTCAATAAAAAAGAGTCCTCCAGCTGGGCACCAGTGGCTCATGCTTATAAATCCTAGCTACTCAGGAGACTGAGATCTGAGAATTGAGGTTCAAAGCCAGTCTGGGCAGGAAAGTCTGTGAGACTCCAATTAATCTCCAATTAACTACCAGAGAACCAGAAGTGGCTCTGTGGCTCAAAGTGGTAATGCACCAGCCTTGAGTGAAAAAGCTCAGGGACAGCACCCAGGCCCTGAGTTCAAGCCCCACAAACAAAAAAAAAAAAAGAAAAGAAAAGAAAAAAAAGAATTCTCCAAACCTTTTAATTCTACATTTTCTTTTCTTGTCCTTGTTTCCTAGTCTGTGAAAAGCAAGCTAATATTTTTTAAAAAAAAAAAAGTCCTTGGCTAAGAAGTTAAAAGAACCAATATATAGAGAGGTATGTAAAATTCAATTACACTTAGTTTTTTGGCATTTGTTTTTTCTGGCAGTATTGGGGTTTGAACTCAGGACCTCTTCATATTTGCAGGTGTTCTACCACATGAGCCCTTACTTAGCCCTCAGCCCTTACACTTAGTTTTTAAGAATCAAATCATGCTACAAAGGTAGAAATGTACACTATGCTACCCATGTAACTGCCACAGCCTTCTTTCTGGTCTCTGCTTCCATAATTACCTGAATTCTTCAATCTAGACTTTATACTGGCATTAAAATAAAACTTTCTACAGTACAAATGTAATGTCAAATTTGTTGCTTATAACTTTTTTTTTTTTTGGTTTTAAGACAGTGTCTCACTATGTATCCCAGGTTAGCCTCAACTCCTGCCTCAATCCTCCTGTTTTATCCTCCCTAGTGTTGGGATTACAATCATGTACCACCTCACCCATCTACTTATAACCTTCAATTTGCTTCTTACTGTTCTTAGGTATGATCTAGGGAATCAGCAAACTATGACCCATGGACCAAATCCACCTGTTTCTACAAGTTTTACTGGACTATAGCTGTGTTCATTCTGTTTCAGACTATGACAAGTTGTGTAGAATAGTTGTGACACAGAACCACAGAGTTTAAATATTTACTATTTTTTCCTTTACAGAAAAATGCTTATCTTTTTTCTTTCTCTATTCACACAACCATACTCATCTTACTCAAGATTACTCTGCTTACCTTTCCTATTTCATTTCTCATGCCTCTTCATTTCTCACCATACTGTCCTGCCTTCACACACACACACACACACACACACACACACACACACACACACACACACACACACACACACACACACACACACCCTACTGAGGCACTTTTAATAATGATAAACTTTCTTAAATTCAACACACTTGGTCCCTTCTATTTTATCTAATTCTCAGCCAGGAGGTAACTTCCTCCAAGAAGTCATCCCAGAGTCCAGAAGTCCAGGGAAAACTTCTTACTCCCAAAGAACCTACTATTCCATTGTTACAGCACTCCTGAGAATATCAAAACTGTCTCTTTTCTATCTCTTTGCTGTCAGAGACAGTAGTTGTCTTGTTCACCACTACAATTCTAAAAACTAGCAAAGTTGCTTGGCACTTAATTATTAGGCAAACAGCCTCCAAGTCCCTGGATATCAATCCTCAGAGTTAACCTTCAACTTTCATCCTTACCTCTTACTCTAGGGTAACTTTCAATAGGTTTGAGCACATACTGCCTTATCAAAAGCAGCTATATGGAGATAGTATATATGGTATCTAGCTATCTATCTGGAGTCCTATCCAGGACAAGGAGGATATAAAGCTAACAATATTCAGAGCCCATATATATGATATATATAGACATAGATGATATATAGATACCATAGACCATATATGTGATATATATACCATACACATAGATAACATATGCATCCATCCATCCATCCATCTATCTATAGAGACACAAAAACAAATGTAGTCTGCACCCACTCCCATCCCACACCCACCAAGCCCAAATACTCAGAAAAGGCCAAATAGAACCATGCAACAGGATTCTCACCTCTCCTTACTTCGAAGATGCCAAGACTGGCAGCTGGGGATGCTGAAGGTTCTGCAAGAGCCGGAAAGCCCCAATGCTGTGGACAAACACATATCTCTGCAACAAGTCTACCTCAATATAAAGGATCAAATCCCCACTAAGAATCAAAATATACCTTAAACTACTAATCTCACTAACATCTACTAACCCTACAAAACTTTCAAAAGTTACTAATACTACATTTGGCTTCTGGATGATGAATTTCATATTCTCTGGTAGTACATTTAGAAAGATGGTAGCTCAGTGGTAGAGTGCTTGCCTTGCATGCATGAGGCCCTGGGTTCAATTCCTCAGCACCATATAAGCAGAAAAAGCTGGAAGTGGCGCTGTGGCTCAAGTGGTAGAGTGCTATCCTTGAGCTGAATTGCTGAGGGACAGCACCCAGGCCCTGAGTTCAGGCCCCATGACCAGCAAAAAAAAAAAAAGAAAGAAAGAAAGAAAGATGGTCATGAAGTAGTGAATAATTTGAAGTCTTGTCCAAGACAAGGAGGATATAAAGCTAACAATATTCAGAGCCCAGGAACAAATGAACCAGAACTGAGGGAGAGGTTGGTTACTACAAATCCACATGCCATTGCAAATAGACACACAAAGCAGGAAATATTTTCAAGAAACTTCTAAGTCTGCCTCAAGTTCTAAAAACGTCAAAGTAACCAATCTCAAATTAAAACATCAAGGGATACCTATCATATTTATCACCTAATTAAGATCTTCAAAAGGACCCAAACTGCCCTTCGCACAAAGAAATAACTATGATCAATTGATCAATAATTTACATACATACACACACACACACACACACACACACACACACACACATGCCCCATACACATTTAAGACTTAACTCATATCCCCTGGGGAAAATGCCACTTACCAATTTGCTCTACCACAGAGAAAACACTTTTCAAAATGGAATGGAATAAAAGCACTTTTATTTGGAAATTTCAAGTTGGAGGGAGAGCTCTTAGCCAAGCTCTATGACCTAGCAAGCTGATTATTTACAGGATCTTTGGGCAGGAATTGTTAATGAGCTTTTAATTTGGAGTGCTTAAGTTGCCAAAGTGCTCTGAGCTCCAATGAAGCACCACAGAATCCATAAAGGAAACCTTATCAATCACTTCCCGGCAGTTCCATTCCCTACCCCCACTCTATACCTCCAGCCCAAAGGCAGCCAAGTGGGTTTCTAACCAAGATCACAGACTCACATTAGTCGAGTCACACTTGAAGTCCCTGTTTATAAATTGGCTTTTAAGTGGTAGGGGATTCAGGTATAATACACTTATGCTCCAAGAACGAGCACACTAAAACAAGGTATGCTGTGTATGATGAAGTTAGAATAAAGCAGCATTTGATGAAGCCAATTTCTGGCAGAAACTCTACAATCAAAAATCACTCAGCCAATCACAGCCTACTATAGTCGAATAGAGTATAGTCTAGCCAATGGGATCCATGCTTTGCTGACACTACACTGGAAAACGGATGAAATACCTAAAAAGAGCAAATGCCAAAGAAATGGCCAAAGAATTCTAGCCAAAGACAATGATGAGCACTATTCCAGCCCTAAAGCCAAACCTCCACATCCTCAATGAAGGGCTCTGTATCCTCCATCTTCCAAGTTAATACAGAACAATCACAGTCAAGCCTCAACTCACATTCATTCATTTTTGTATTGTTTTAAGAAAACACCTGTTGCTAGACCACTTACAGTAAAGGCAAACAAAAAGCTTGCCAGGCTAGGCCTCTCTTTTACTCTTTCCTCCATTACTACTACAACTTCATATTTACAGAGGGAAACTGCTAACCTTCTGTGCGTGTGTCCAGGATGAGGGAAAGGGGTCATGGTCTATTATCTACTATCTCCTTGCCTCTGTTTCTAGTTTTGGCTAAACCTCTTAATCCCAGCTAACAAGTCAACCCCCTTAAACAACTCATTCAATCTTCTATTAAAGCACTGCCCCGCTACCCCCTTCCCTTCCCTTCTCCTCTCCCCCCACTCCCCCCCCCCCGCACCTCGCTTCTCCAAAATGTTACTCAGAACATGCACCTAGGGTGAACCCAATACACCCCCAGGCTGCACACATCGCGCGCCACGACCCACATGCCGCATGCATTACACCAGGGCCCAAGCTAAGGGCCTCTCCGCATCACCCACCCCAGGGTGTTGCCCCCAACTCGGGCCCATCCAAGTCAAGGGAAGCGTAAGGGGAGGGGCAGGAGGCCAAGAGACCAGCCCTCCTTCCCAGGGCCGCCCCCGCCCCCCATCAGCTGCGGGAGAGGCTGTCGCCATGGCAACGCCCCCCTCCTTGGGGCCAGCGCGGCAGGCTTTCTCCAGGTGCAGGCCCCGACGTCTCCCTCGGCCTCAGCAGGCGCTCAGGGCAGTTGGCGGCGGCGGGTGCGGCCCGCGCCGAATGCGGCGCTGGCCAGGCAGGGGCAGGACCAGCTCTGCCCGCTCCCCACAGCCCGTTCCTGGCCGCCTCAACAGCAGCAGCCAGCACCACGAGTCCACAACACACCGACTCACCTCCGCGCACTCTGACCCCTACCGACGCAGTAGACGGGCGGGCGCCGTGGCCAACCGCTGAGTCCGCCGCCTCCCCTTTGACCAATGAGCTGTTGTGAGGCGGGGCTTCTTCTCCTCAAGAGCTTGTTTTCCCGTTCGCATGCGCGCTAAGGTGTGCCAAGATGGTGGCTGCCGGCTACTGGCTTTATGGGACTTGTAGTTTTGTGGGTTCACGTACTCAGAAGACAAGGGGAGGTCACTTCTGTTCAGGGAAAGGGATTAAAAATCAAACACCAAAAACTCGAAGATTCCTTCAGGTCTACAGCAATTCAAGTATCCCTATCTCCTTTTCCTCACATATATACATTAAGGTGAGTATAAACTCATAAAGTAACATTCTGTTTAGGTGACATTTCCTTATGGTTCATTCATTCAAGTAATCACTATCATCTACTCTGATGAAGGCCTGGGGGAGAACTAGGAGGAAGGGAGGCGAATTAGGATAAGAAAATTAAATGCTCAGATATCTGAAGGACCTTTCTAAGAAAGAGGCTACTGACTTATGTCTCTACATAGGAAACTTCAAGGTTGAAAGGATTTCTGGTCACAAGCTTCCAGTCTCTCCTGCCAGCTGGAGAGAACCCTTATCAAAACCAAAGATGTGTTTCTACATCTTGGTTACACTGCTCTAGGAAGCATGGATAACAGGTTATATGACCTGGGAAACCTCCATCTTAACCAAGCCAGTGATGACTTTGACAGCCTCTCAGTTAATCAGGACACATTTTACAGGCCAGTTTCAACAAGCACCTTTGCCTGCCACCTTCATATTTTCAGTTAAGACAATTGATATCATTTCTGAGTCCCTCCACCTCTAAAATCTTAACATAATGGTTTCTGCCTGCGCTGGAAATGCCTGATAATCCCCATATCAGAAAATGCCTTTCTTAATCTCATTCACATAAGGGGTTAGGCAATTCCACTGTGCACCTACAGAATTGATCAAAGTGTTTTATAATTATCTATGTCCTTATCTTTTCTCCCCCCAGGAATTTAAGCTCCTTTAGGTTAAGTATTATTTCTATATTGTTCTTGTTGTATATCAGTGATACTCAGTACATGTTAGTTATAAAACAATCATACTATGAATGTTTGTGAACAAGGGAGGGAATAAATAGCAGCTATGACAGATATCACTCCTGCCAAAGTCAGGAAAGTGGAAGCACATCTATCTGCCTATCCCCATTTCTTAGGTCTTGCTCCTCTTGTTGTTACCTAGACATTAGACTCAGTTATTCAGTCAATATTTTTTTTTTAATTTTTTTTGCTGGTCCTGGGGCTTGAACTCAAGATTTTGATGCTATCTCTGAGCCTCTTTGTGCCAAAGCTAGCACTCTGCCACTTGAGCCACAGCACCACTTCTGGCTTTTTCTGAGTAGTTTATTGGAGATAAGAGTCTCACAAACTTTATTGCCTGGGCTGGCTTTGAACTTCAAACCTCAAATCTCAGCTTCCCAAGTAGCTAGGATTACAGGTGTGAGCCACCAGCACCCAGCTCAGTCAATATGTATTTATAGTGTCTCTGCTACATATTAGGCATCGTTTGTTGCTGAATAAGACACACAAAACCTTTATCCTCAAGGAATTTATACTTTATAAAATTTGTAGGTAAATATTTGCAAACAATATATGTATATACCATGGGAGGAAGAACAAACAAGTAAATATAAAAATAAAATAATTCAAATAAGAGGCCATGAGTTGGCCTCACTTATCTCTGGCTTTGTTGTATCTTAAGTTCTAGCCTAAGAACAGGGCACTGACAACATTCTTAGCTACAAGAAAGAAGTAAATTTGCCTGTCTGGATCAGAGGTCTTGTTAAGGCCCAGCCTAAACATTTTCCATGTAGCCTTTCCATGGATCCCTTGATTTCTTTCCAGAATATGCTCTTTCCTTTTTGGTGCTATAGAACTCAACCATACAGATTCCAGAACCTCATCAGGATATAAGCTCTTTTGGGACAAAATCCAGGCACATCACTCAAATAATAGAACAGTTTGAGAGCTCAGTATATACTTGGTGCCTTGCCCTGCGTCTAAGCCAGCATTTGACTCCCTAAAAACCTTGTATTTGTTTTGTGCTATTAGGCTTCCTAGAAAACAGAGCCTGAGGCAAGGCTTATATGCTTAGATTTAATTGGAAAGAACAGGCATAAGCATTAAGAGTAAAGGGAAAAGAAAAGTGAGTCAAGGAAGGAGGGAATCAAAGGACAAGGCAGCATATCACCAAGTTGTCTAGACCTTCAAAGAAAACATTTTGATGGCATTTATTTTTGGATTAGTCATTGCTAGTATATAGAAATATATCTTTGTGGGCTGGGAAGGTGGCTCAGTGGTAGAGCACTGCCTTGCATGCATGAGGCCCTGGGTTCGATTTCTCAGCACCACATAAGCAAAAAGAAAAAAGCCGGAAGTGGTGCTGTGGCTCAAGTGGTAGAGCACTAGCCTTGAGCTGGAATGCTGAGGGACAGCGCCCAGGCCCAGAGTTCAGGCCCCACGACTGGACCCCCCCCAAAAAAATAGAACTTCAAAGAAAACACAGCTAATTTCTCTGTCATAAGGACTGAATTCTAGATAAGCCTCAGAGAATGATCATATCCCAGAGACAGAGAGAAAGAAAGAGTTGGGTTACGCCAACATTCTGGTAGCCACAGGGGTGCCATATCTCACACCTGGAGCACATGGTTCATTTTAGTCTGGAAATGGTGAGAGATGTCAAAACCTTTGGTATGGTCACTTGGGTCCATGGCATTCTTACTACATTGGGCATATTGAAGCGGGGGGGGGGGGGGGGGTGTCCAAAACCTAACCTAGTTGGGCCTTCACTCAAGTATATACTGAGCTCTCAAACTGTTCTATTCTTTGAATGATGTGCCTTTTTTTTTAATTCAAAAAGAGTTTACATACTGGTGAGGTTCTGGAATCTGTACAATTGGGTCCTAGAGCACCCAAAAGGAAATTCACATAAATTAGGGCATATGAACTAGTTTCAATGTACAAACTCAAATATGCCCTTCATACTCTCTTAGCTTCTAGATTAAGTAACTGACTAAAATGGTAACTGACAAGAGGAACCAAAGACTGGACCAAATTGATTCTGTTATCCTTCAAGCCACCAAAATAAAGAACAGGGTGGCTATCAAAGCTGGAACATTAGCCTGGCACCTGTGGCTCATGCCTGTAATCCTAGCTACTCAGGAGGCTGAGATCAAAGCCAGTCCAGGCAGGAAAGTCCATGAGACTCTTATCTCCAATAAAAACCACTAGAAAACCGGAAGTGGTGCTGTGGCTCAAGCAGTAGAGTGCCCGCCTTGAGCTGAAGAGCGCAGGGACAACACCCAAGCCCAGAGTTGAAGCCCCATGACTGACCAAAAAAATAAAAAAGCTGGAACATTAACCAACAATTGAAAGGAAGAAAATGCAAGACCCAAGGATACTACATGACAGCCCCAAAACTTGTCACAGTTGGGAAAACCCCAAATGGGTCTAAAATAATTTTTTTGCAGGAACTGGAAAAACTGCTTCTGCCACCACTGTCGTACCTACAAGCGACATATAGCAGTATAGTGTATTAGGAAGAGAAGTGTAGGCTCAGAGACAGGATACTGAGGATTGAGTTCTGGCTCTGTCTTTAACTTAGGCAAGTTGAATACTTCTCTCAGGCTCAGTTTCTTCATCTCTAGAGTGGAGATACTACTAGTACTTGTGAGAATTAAATACAAATTGCTTAGTACCTGACATAAAGAGTTCAGTAAGCAATGACTGTTACTACCATTGTTTTTACCATTCCCTACTCTTCCTCCCACCATGACCACCCCTATCCACTGGATTCCTCTACTACAGGAGAAACAGGAGGGGCTAGCCCTTGCCTTCCTTCTTTTTCTGCTTTCTCCAGGGCTGTTCCCCACAAGCCTGAGCCATTCATCTCCCTGGTGACCTGAATCTGAACTAAGAGATAGATGTGGGGTGGCTGAGGCCAGGGTGGTAATGCGTTCCCTTATCTCTGTACCCCTCACTGGGGCCTAGTTAATTTTCCCTTTGATTTTAATATAGATTTATTGAAAGTTTCCGTTATCAAAACAAACTGCAGCAGCAAATTGGTGTTCTTTGTAGGCCTACAAGTGCCTATAAAGCTGCCATGTTCGGGAACGAATGGCGCTCTCCAGGAGGTCAGTCATGGCAACAGGAAGTCCCTGGGGACACACACACTGCAGTTTAATATTTTTCTTATTAGCCTTTTTCTTCTTGGCTATCTAAGCCTTCCCCTTTAAATCGGAAATCAAATGGAGCCACCTGCCCAGGGACACTGTCTTTCCTAAGCTGCTCCACTCTCTACTTACTCTCTGTCCCTTCTCTAGTCCTAACCTCCTGGTATGAAAACCTCTGACTTCACCTTCCTTTACCCACTGCCTCATCGAGAACTATGATCCATCTGACCTACAAGTGTGTCTCCCAAATGGCATGTATCTGTCTGATTTACCTTGTTCCACCTCTACAAGGTCTACACTGGGCTACCCATACTTAGAGGCAAAGAATCCTGAGAAAAGATGGGGGATGAAGGCTTCTTCCAGATCTCAAAAAGGAAGGAAAAGCACAGTTTGAAAGCCAAGGAGTTGCTGTTTCTGTCAACATCTACTAGACTCAACAGAAGCCAAAAAGAGATGATGATCCTAGAAAGTGGGAAAGTTGTCCTACCAGCACAAAATTGTCAGATTTCATTCTCATATTCTACTGCTACCATTATGGTCTCCTCTCTCAATCCCAGCTTGATTTTTAAATCTTTACTCTCTGTCTTCAATCTGTCTCTCTAAAGTCTACCTCTAGTGCCCCAGTGGCTCCCATAGCTTAAACAACTGTCACCTGTAGAGTCTGGAATAAGTTCTGCTTTAGAAGGATATCCATGGGCTGGTCATCTTAAGAGCACCAATGATCTCTTCTGGGTCAGAAATAC